CTTAAGATGAATTGTGAAGCATTTAGCAGTTCTTAAAATATTTCTGTACCACCTCTTCCCCAATTCTTTAAAATATAGCCATTATTTCTTAATTACCTCTGTAATAGTGAATAGTTTTTAAATAATTGGGGGAGGGGTGGTACTAAAGTATCAGGATTTTACCCACTATGTTCCCAGAATTTAGCCTCTTAATCATTCTGCTTCTTTTCCTTTAGCCTTCTCATCCACTGAATTCTTTTTTTTTTTGAGTTGGAGTCTCACTCTGTTGCCCAGACTGAAGTGCAGTGGCCGCTCCTGGCCACCGCAGCCTCGACCTGCTGGGCTCAGGTGATCCTTCTGCCTCAGCCTACCGAGTAGCCGGAATTACAGGCATGCGCTACCACACCCGGCTGATTTTTTGATTTATTGTAGAGATGAGGTCTTGTTGCCCAGATGGGTCTTGAACCCGTGAGCTCAGGCTATCCACTCACCTCAGCCTCCCAAAGCACGGGATTACAGGCTGAGCCACCGAGCCCGGCTCCACTGAATTCTTTTTACAGGCTTTACTGCCTTCCACTGAAGCAAGCATGAGGGATGTCACTGTATGCCAACTCTGTGAGAAGGCACATTGGTACCTTTTGTGCTCTGCCTCCTGAGCCTTTTGCTCATCTTTTTACTTCAGCTTATCTGAGTCCATGGACTTTCTGCCCAGAAAGTCTAGGTGCTACTAGGCCTCCACCTAGGACACAGTTGGATAAACACAAACTTGAACATCTGGGGGCGAATTCACACCCCAAGAGACAACCCTTAACTCAGGTGAAAGTCCTGAGGTACATTCTATGTGACTCTTCAGTGAGTCCCTAGCAGAATCTAGCCCATTTCCAACAAAAGAAATAAAGGTAAGCATGGAGAAGACCCCATGATCATGGAGAGGTGGGAATTAAGTAAAGCTTCACACACAGCCTTATGTGTGAAGCACATGGTTAGCCATGTTGCTGGTGAATGATAATTAGGGTTTGAACTGTTTACTTTTCTAAAATAATGGCATCAAAAATCACTGTAGACCAAGTGTAGTTCCATTTGCCAGTAGAAAACCAGACTCTTATTTTCTATCCGGAGTCATGAAAGGAAGTTCTATTTGCAGGCAAAAAATTAGGAGGTCAAAAAGTTTTCTCCCAAAACCATCTTGAAGTACTTGATTTTCATACTCTCAAGGTTTGAAGCTTCTGTGGTTGGTGCAAAGCACCAAACTAGATGCGGGGAGCACAGTGATGTGTAAGGTATGGTCCTTATTTCTGCCAGACTGGGAAATTAAATGCCCACACCTGTGCAAATGCACATAATTGGAACACTGTTGGATGCTCTTGGGTGTTCATGGAAGTTAGGTCAGCCAACACTGACAAAGTGTTTGTGTGTGCGTGTGTGTTTATGTGTGTGTAGTATTTGAGCCAAACTTTGAAAGATGTGAAGAACTAGCCAAAACCAATAATTTGTCTACTTAAACTTATTATGAAGATAACTTTAAAGTTATCATGAGTGACAAAGGTATCAATTGCTTGGAAAAGTATAAAATACTTTATATTTTATACAAATGTAAGATATTGATAATGGTAACAATAATATTATTTCTAGAATGGTTAGATTATAAGAATATGAAATTTAGGATTTAAACTGCCAGTGGTATTTATTAACTTGTAGAATAATTCTAATCTCAGTTAATCAATATGTTTTTAACATAAGCTCATACTTGAACATAAGGTCTAACTATCATTTGAATACATTTAGAGAGTCACCTCAATATAAAGGTGATTTCTTAAAATATCTTAACAGAATCTAATATTTGCCTGGAGTTGTTTCCTTCTGTTCCTCTTAAGAATCTTTCCTACTATAAAGAACTCTTTACATGAAGCTATTTTGAGAAGTGAAATGCCAAAATATAACTCCAGTGTAGTCAAAGATACAGGCCCTGTTCGAAGACCTGTATCAACATTGTAATTAGAAAAGTGAATTTTATTTCAAACACAATCAGTGAACACTGACTGGAAGGAGATGTGTGGTATGTTTTCAGTAATATGGAGTACATTAATATTTGCAAAATGTGAATTGTGGAACTATTTTCTGTACATCCGAGGTATTTCAAGGAAAGAAATTAACAGCAGATGTTACACTGAATAGCAAGGTAGCATGAGTTTAAGAGTAGTTATTCTACAGGGTGTCTCTTTATTTTCCAGTGTCAGGAGAAAATTGTTATTAAACCCTAGAATTAAATATATTGTGCTGAGTCCATTTACATCTTATGGAATAATTTCATTTGTTCTGTACTAGCTGACTGGCAGAGAAATTGAACAATGTTTGGTGATATTTTAAAGCTGTAATTTCATCAGCAACTGACTTAGGAACTCTAAATATAAGTCTGGAAATAAAAGTATTATGTACTATCTCTGACTGCTCTAAGGTCTGAAATAGAACTTTTCCCCTGCTTCCCAGTGGACTCTTCCTGGGAAGTCAGTTGTCATCGTTCCCGTAAGTTTCTTTTCATCTTTAATTGTGCTAACATTTAAAAGGAAAACTGTGAAGGTTACAAAGACACATTTTTTTTTTTTTTTTTTTTTTTTTTGAGTGAAAGTCTCACTCGGTCACCCAGACTGGAGTGCAGTGGCCGCTTCCGGCCACCGCAGCCTCGACCTGCTGGGCTCTGGCGATCCTTCCGCCTCAGCCTTCCAAGTAGCCGGAATTACAGGCATGCGCTACCATGCCCAGCTGATTTTTTGATTTATTGTAGAGATGAGGTCTCGCTGCCCAGGCGGGTCTCGAACCCGCGGGCTCAGGCAATCCACTCACCTCAGCCTCCCAAAGGCGTGGGATTACAGGCTGAGCCACCGAGCCCGGCTAGGATACATATTTTAATGATAATTTAAAAAAATAACAATAGTAAGAATATGGAAACAATATAGAAATGTGGAAAGTAAAAAAGTATCTTTCACAACTGGAATATATCCCTCCATATTTTATCCCATGCATGTGTGATACCACTACATGCATCATATATGTATACGTCTGCTTTGTAGAAGAAGGCTATCATATCACTGATATTCTGTGACTTTGTTTTTTTTATTTTTTATTTTTTGAGTTGGAGTCTCACTCTGTCGCCCAGACTGGAGTGCAGTGGCCACTCCCAGCCACCGCAGCCTCGACCTGCTGGGCTCCGGTGATCCTTCGGCTCAGCCTTCCAAGTGGCTGGAACTACAGGCATGCGCTACCACACCCGGCTAATTTTTTAATTTATTGTAGAGATGAAGTCTCACCAAGTTGTCCAGGTGGGTCTGGAACCCGCTGGCTCAGGCAATCCACTCACCTCGGCCTCCCAAAACGTGGGATTACAGGCTGAGCCACCGAGCCCGGCTGTGACTTTGTTTTTTAACCTCAACAGTATATCATGATGTTCTTTCTGATCAGTACGTGTTGTCTTGTCTCATTTATTCCAAAAGCTATACAGAGTACTGTTCTATAAATGAAAAAAATTGAACCTCTGTTCATGAGCACTTATCACATATATGTCTATGTGTGTTTAATTCATACTTATTTTAAATTATATTCTTAATAGCTATACAGGATGTTTTAAATTGACATGTTGTAATTGTGCATATTTATGGGGTACAGTTTGATGTTTCGAGATATATATATTATATATATATAATATATATACATAATGTTCAAATCAGGGTAGTTAGCATATCCACCATCTCATACACTTATTATTTTTTATGCTGAGAACATTAAAAAACCTCTCTTCTAGCTGTTTTGTAATATGCAATACCTTACTCTCAACTATCATCACCCTGCTGTGCAATAGAACACCACAGGATTTGTAAAAAATTAAATTATGTAGCTGGGTTTCGGCCTTATTTGAGGCAAAGATTACCCCAGAGACTTTTTTTTAAAGCAATTTCTTTGTAACGTGTTTTTAGTGATTTTTTAAATATAATTTTAAACTATATATGCTTGGCTTTATTTATTAATCAACTTTAGACACTATGCAAGTGAAGCCAGGACTCCATTGCCAGGAGAGGCCAAACTCTTGACATTCTCAAGAGAAATGTTTTAAGACTTTCATAATTCTCCTGATTCATATGCAACTCTATCACTTAATTTCTCCCATAAAGTTCTGTTTAACTAGCATTGAAATTCTCCACTGGGAGGGAGAAGAGCATCCTACCACCCTAGCCTACCATATCAATCTTTAGGAAGATCTTTTTCAAAATACGCAAATCTTCTTTCCTACCCTCAAGTGGACCATGCTTACCTGACTGAAAATTACCGTGTGTAATTTCAGATGTTACTAGTTGGAAATATGTTGTACAGATCACGCAGAAGCAAAAAACAAGCAGAAACAACAACAACAAAAAAAACCCCAAAGTAAATATATATATAGGTTAAAACATTTAAGTGGTGAACAGTTCTTTTTTTTTTTAGGTTAGGCGTCATCATTGTCTGATTTCTTCATTTTCTATTCATTATTAGTCTAGCAGAGGGCTCTCCTTTTTATTCACTTTACAAGAGTTCTTACGTAAGCATTAAATTAATGAGTGGAGACTAGCCAAGCAAAGCAGGGATGTAGGTGCCATGACATGAAGAGCTCCCTGCTGAAATGAGGGTCTGCCTTCTGCATTCTAGACAAGGGCAGGTCAAATTTGTATTCAGCAAAATTACCGTCATGGGGCCTTCAGAGTTCACTGTAATAGTTGAAACTCCAAGCACTAACTCTGTGAATATCAAACCAAATCCATCATCTTTTATACCTTTAAACCTGATAGAAAACTCTTCAAGGTCTGTGATTCTGTCTATTTGAAGATCCACCTTGCCACATACAGTGGAGTCTAAAAATGACAGCAGCAAGGGCATGCTTGTCTGGAGGACTGATTCCACAGTGCTTTGACTTTTCTCCACAGCACCTGAAGGTGAGTGAAAAGCCGAGGATGAGAAGTACTGATGGAGTTCTTTGACTGTTTTATCTGCAGACTGCAGCTGAATATGTTAAATCTCGACTCCCAGAGGCCCTTAAACAGCATCTTCAGGACTACGAGAAAGACAAAGAAAATAGTGTATTGTCTTACCAGACCATCCTCGAACAGCAGATTCTGTCAATTGATCGGGAAATGCTAGAAAAATTGACCGTGTCCTATGATGAAGCAGGTATGTTTGTCTTTAATGTACACACACAACTTTTTTCCCTCTGCAGAAATTTTATTATAACCTTGGTTTTAAACTTGGGCCTTTTTCTGAGGAAGAAATTTAAGGGCAAACTGGATTCAAAGCTATATTGTGAATTAATAGTAAACATCTTCTCTGTTGTTTTAGTATCAGTACTTTGCCAGAAGAGTCTTGAAAATGGCTCTTAAATATTAAGACCCTTTAAATTTTTGCTCTTTTTTAAATGGAATTTTTATGGCCTTTTATCAGTTGTGTACTCCTAAAGTGTTATTTCAATTTTGAATACCTGCTGAAAACTTTTACATCCAATAATCCAAGAACAGTTATTTGATTCAAAAGTTGGTTTTTTTAAAAAAAATTTCAGGAGTTTTCTTTTCTAAAGAGGTACTACATTTTTCTTGGAGTGTTAAACTGAACTTGGCTTTCTTTTCCTTAGCAACCAGAGACCACCACACCAGAGACTTGATTTCACTGCCCACCATGAGCTCAGCCCATCCAAGGGAACTTTTTAGAGCAGCCATGGACACACCTCCTTATAACACCATTTTAATCTATTGCATGACTGTCAGCTAAAACCCAATTTTAATGGAACTTGTGTAGTATTACTTGAAATTATTAAAAATCTTTAATTAAACTTACACAGCAGAAATACCTTGATTAAAATTGCAATATCTCTCCTTCCATCTGAAAAAAAAAGTTGGAGGAAAAAATACAGGGAAATAGGTTTCTAATGGTCAATGTTTATAGTACTCATCCTTATTTTAATACCAGGAACTTCTGTTTTTATTTCCACAAGGATGTCTTTAGCATGTATCATATTTTCTTCATCATAATCTAAGCATGCTCAAAGCTAACATTTTTAACATTTGATTTCAAGTTTGAATAGCAAACAGGAGAACAATTTTAAAAAGTATACTACCTTTACCTAACCATGAATACAGTTTTTCTGGTTATTAAGCAAGCCAGTTACATCTATCCTCTAATCCCTTCTCATCTCTGTCAAGCAGCATCTGCAGTCTAGCCTTGCAGGATGTTTCTACCTCTCTGATTCTCCTATACTTTTTTAAAACTTTCCAGAGACATTGACTTTCTTCTGCCTGTTGAGTGATTAGTTATTTGTTCTATGTATTTATCTTTCAATATTCATCTCTTCTCTCATCCCTAATGGAATAAAGTAGAGATGTGATCAGTCGCAATCAAAATAATATTTAAATATTCAAAGCATCTTATAGATCATAGAACTCCTATAATCTACCCACTTCCTGCCCCTATAATCATTTTATGGTGAGGAAAATTGGAACTCATAGAGTTGCCTGAAATAATGTAGTTACTTAGTTGTAGAGCTGAGACTCCAACCTCCTAATTACTAATCAGGCTGTGCTTTTACCACACTAATGCATAATGACATACTAGACAGTTGGAAGAAAGAGAGAAGCACACTGGAAAGATGGGAAGGGATCGGAGATGTAGAAAACGTCGATCTTGCTTAAAGTCTAGCTGGGGAGATACAACTTACCTCTATGAGCTCTAGAGAAAAACTCTTGAGGAATGTGGGACTAAGTACACACTGTAATAGCCACTTAAAGTTAAGCCGAGATATGGAGTCAAGGAATAGTGAAAGTGGCTCAAGTTTTCCATGGAATTCTTTAGGAAGAGCATTAGCGTAAACATTGAAGGACAAATGGTGAATTTGTAAAAAGAAGAGAGATGCATTCTAGTGGATGAAGAGGTCCAGCTAGACCTCAAGGTGGGAATGAGTCATAGCTGCAACCTCCTACCGCTCAATTTTTTCTCTTCTTCAGGAATAATTTTTCACTCTCCTGTTCTGTTTTGAACAACTGCTAATCTTGAAAGGAATATTTGGACAAGACTTTTAGGGCAAATACTTTGGCATGGAGTTAATCTATCAATACACTCTGTAGCATGAAGCTATGGAAATAAACACAGGATTGAGCGTTAGAGAAACTAAATTCTATGCCTTTTTTCTAGCTTAATACTGATGTGATCTTCAGCAGGTTAACCTCTTAGGACCACTGTTTCTTCATCTATAAAGTTGAGCTAATAATATCTTAGTGAGTTAATAAAATATATCGTGTTTGGGGAAGTCCTTAGAAATCATATTGCAAATGCTAGTTAATGCCACTAATGCAGAATGAGAGATTTGGATCTTGTCTATTCCTCAACCAAGTGCAGCTGACCCTTGAAAACACAGGGACTAGGGATGCCGCCCTCCACACAGTCAAAAAGTATTAACTTTAGACCTCCTCAAAAGTTAACTACTACTCTCCTATGTTATCTTACTGTTGGCCTTACTGGTAATGTAAACAGTCAATTAACACATATTTTCTATGTTATATATCTTATATGCTATATTCTTACAATAAAATAAGCTAGAGAAAAGAAAATATTATGAAAATCATAAGGAAGAAACTACGATTACTATACATTGAGTGGACATCATAAAGGTTTTCATCCATATCATCTTCACATTGGACAGGCTAAGGAGGAGGAAGTAGAAGAGGAGAGTCTGGTCCTGCTGTCTCAGGGGTGTCAGAAGTGTAGAAGAAAATTATTGTATAAGTAGACCTGCACAGCTTAAATGCATGTTGTTCGAGGGTCCACTGTACTTGTAGTCTTTTCTTGGTATATAGTGTTCAGGCAGACAAAGGAAAATTTTTTAAAATGATCTGCAACTTTGCAAACTCAAGCTATATCTATTTGTTAAATCATTCACTCTGAGCTCAGTTTGCCTCTGGTCATCTCTGCATGGGGTGTGATGCGGGGTGGCAGATTTGATGGGGGCTGTGAATGAATGAGTGTCATTGTGCTTTGTGGAAAGGTCACTGCCTCCTCCTCCATAATCCATATATTAATGATTTCAGTCAAAGAAGGAGGAGAAAATAAGGGAAAAAACTACTATTTAACAGAAAAATATTTTATCTTAATACAGATGTATTCAGATAGAAAATCTGTAATAGTATCTAATACCTTTTGATACAACTACCCTATACAGATGGTCCCCAACTTAGGGTAGTCCAGCTTAATATTCTTCAACTTTGGAAGGGTGCCAAAGTGTTGCACATTCAATAGAAACTGTACTTCAAGTACCCCTACAACCATTCTCTTCTTTATTTACAGTACTGTATTCAATAAATTACATGAGGTATTCAACACTTTATTATGAAGTAGACTTTGTGTTAGATGATTTTGCCCTAACTGTAGTCTAATGTGAATGTTGTGAGGACATTTAAGGTGGGTTAAGCAAAGCTATGATGTTTGGTGGGTTAAAGGTGTTAAATGCATTTTCAATTTACGATATTCTCAACTGACAATGGGTTTATCAGGACATAGTTTCATTGCAAGTTGAGGAGATCTGTACTAAGACATTTGCTTCAACTGCTCAGCTTCTTTTCAGGCTGTCTTAGTTTTGACTTCTTCAGATTCTTAATTCAGCTCTCCCAGTTTTAGGAAGATATTTTGGTCTCTGAAGAGGTTAACTTGTCTTTAATGCTCATGCTAGTGGACTAATGTCAACCTGAGCAATTTAATGACAATTAGCACTATTTGTGGCTTCTAAATTTCTAAAAATCAATTAATGAAAAAAGACCTCTTAGACTCTTGTCGAAAAGCACTGACTCAGAAGCTTTTCTCCCTTTTTTTTCTCTCTGTCTGTGTCCTTTCTTCCCTTTAAATATATGTGTATACCTTAACACTTTTCCTATTCACACAGTTCAACTATCCAGCAACCTGAAATTCACAAAGAAATGGGAAGTGAGCAAAAACCATTTCCCTTATTCTAAGCATTTTTATTTTTTTTTGTTTATTTTTTAGAAACAAGGTCTCGCTGTCACTCAGGCTGTAGTGCAATGGTGCAATCATAGTTCATTGCAGCCTCAAATTCCTGGACTCACACAATCCTGCCACCTCAGCCTCTGAGTAACTGGGACTACAGATGTACACCACCATATCTGGCTACTTTTTAAAATTTTTTTGTAGAGATGGGGATCTTGCTATGTGTTACCCAGGCTGATCTTGAAATCCTGATTTCAAGTGATTCCCCCCATCTCAGTCTCCCAAAGTGCTGGAATTACAGATATGAGCCACCATGCCTAGCATCACTAAGCATTTTAAAAATATAATTGGTATCTTATAGTTTTATATCCTACTTTTTTCACTTAACATTATTACATAAGCACTTCCTCATTTTATTAAAACCTCTTGATGTGAAGAGAAGATAATTTTAATGGCTACATAATACTCTGTTTGAAAGTACCACTCACGAAATATTTTCCTATGCTGGACATTAATGTTTTTTGTTTTTGTTTTGCTGTTATGAATAATGTTGCAAGAAATTATGGCATGCATTTGTCTGCATTTCATATTATTCTAAAGAATAGACTTTAGGAAACATAAGAGTTTAGAATTAAAATTAGAAGGTAGGGGGAAGGTGATGAGACTTGGAGCAGTGATGCTAAGACTAGTAAGAAATGAAAGCAGAGAGTAAAAAGCACACACTCAGAATCATATTAGCATTCATAGACTCTTCATTATAGAGTTAACATTGTTCATCTTTATAATAGTGATCTTGACTCGCAGAGAAAACATTCAATGGTGTTTATCATACTCTTTATATAAAAACAGAAATTGTGTAAACCAGTGTATTAATCCATTTAGGTTGCTATATCAAAAGACCATAGACTGGGAGGCTTATAAACTATAGAACTTTATTTCTAACAGTTCTAGAGACTGGAAAGTCCAAGATCACGGCACCAGCAGATTTGGTGACTGTAAAGGCCTACTTTCTTGTAGATGGCTATCTTTTCACTGTGACCTCACATGGTAGAAGGGGTAAGGGATCTCTCTGGGGCCTCTTTTATAAGGGCATTAATCCTATTCATGAGAGGTCTGTCTTCAGGACCTAATCACTTTCCAAGGGCCCAACCTCTTAATACCTTGGGGATTAGAGTTCAAAATATGAGCTT